CAGATGCTTCTGAGCGACAGTGTGAATGATGGTGACAAATGGAGATGGTGGAGTTGGTGGTAGGTGTGATGACAGTGGCTAGCAGCAATAGTGGGTGATAATGGGTGGTCGTAGGTTATGGCAGTGGGTGGCGGTGGATGGTAGTGGACAACAATGGTGATGGTGGGTGTTGACGGTGGGTGATGGAGGTGGTGAGATGATAATGGTAATGGTAATATATATAAGAATAAGATAATAATAGTGGTGGATAATGGCGGTGGACGACGATAATAGTAATCGGTGGTAGGGCAATGGTGGCGAAGGTGGTGGCGGTGGGGTGGGGGTGGGGGTGGAGTAGGGGTGGTGGTAGAGCAGTTACGGTGATGGTGGGATAGTGACGGTGGTGGTGGGACGGTGACGGTGGTGGTGGGATAGTGACGGTGGTGGTGGGGTGGTGGTGGGACGGTGACGGTGTGGTGGTGGGACGGTGATGGTTGGGGTGACGATGACAGTAGTGGTTGTGGTGGTGATGGGGTGGCGATAGTGGTGGTGATGGTGATGGTGGAGGTAAGGGTGGTTTTAGTAAGAATGGTGGTCGTGGGGCGGTGAGGGTGGCGGCAATGGTTGTGGTGGTGGCTTATTAAAAGTTATAAATTTTAAAAGTACTTTTAAAAAATCATTCTAAACACACTCTTAGAAGCTTATTTTTTCTATTAAATTTGAGGTATTAATATTAGTTGTCGGATTAAGTTTAAAATAAAATTTATACACAATTTATTAGTCGTCGTGTCATGTATAAATCGTGTATAACCGGTATATAAACGAGTAGTGTCGGATATTTCTTTGATTGACGTTACTAATACCCGATTCGTTTATTAATCCTATCGTGTTAGATTCATTCGTTTGCAAAATGGATGACTTAAGAAAAATTTAAATATTTTAATTTCATATTGTGTTAACGAATCGTATTATATTGTGAAACCATACTCTAAAATGGACACATGACAATGGTTGTGGTGGTGATAGGATTATGATAATGGTGAGGATGGGATGGGGTGGTGGTGGTAGTGGTTGTAGTGATGGTGGCGGATTATTCCAAACACTATTTTTTTTTAAAAAAAAATACTTATTAGAAGTTTTAAATTTTAAAAGCACTTATAAAAAGTCATTTTAAACACACTCTTAGTAGCTTATTTTTCCTATTAAATTTGAGGTATTAATATTAGTTGTCGAATTAATTTTAAAGTAAAATTTATGCACGATTTATTAATTGTCGTGTCATGTATAAATCATGTATAATCGGTATATAAACGAGTAGTGTCGGGTATTTCTTTGATTGACGTTACTAATACTCGATTCGTTTATTAATTATATCATGTTAGATCCATTCGTTTGTAAAATGGATGGTTTAAAAAAAACTCAAATATTTTAATTTTATATTATGTTAACGAGTCGTACTATATTTTGAAATCATACTCTAAAATGAACATATTTACCCATAAAGAGATGAAATGAAAATCAAAAGGGAACGTAATATAATCTTGAAAGGAGGAAGATATATCAAAAATCAAGTCTTATTTTCAGTAAGCTTTGATCCTTCATCTTTTTTTTGGTTGAATGTTGTGATTTGTGAGTATCAAGAAGGAATATCAACGCTAGACTCAATTAGATACTACAAGGATATATCTTGATAATTGTTTGTTGCTTAATTATTTTGCAACTCGATACTCGGGCTCTCAAGTGTGTTGCTGACACTTGTGGTCATCCTATTGTATTGTGCAGCATTTTTTTATTGGTGGTCTGATGTGAAAGCACACATGCCAATCTAGTTCCCCACTACAAAAGCCCTCTTATTGGTACTTTTATGTGCGATGCCATTTGGGTACGTCTAGCAATGATTTTCCATTTGCATTGCATGAAACGCACCGATTCTTACATCTAGAAAGAGGACCACAAATCAATCACAAGTAGCCCCAGCAGCATCCTCCAAACCCAAACACTAATCATTCCAACCTTGAGATATTTGTAGCTGATGGAATAAAGAATGGGGAAGCATGTGGTGGAGAGCTGACCGAGTTTTTGGTGGGGGTATGTTGTGTCTGAAAAAATGAGGGAGAATGTAAAAGAAAATAAGTGGTTGATTATATAAAAAGTTTGATTAATTCATTCTAATGAAAATTCTTAGGTCTCGATTGTATCTTACTTTTTCAAAGAAGAAGAGTACAAAAGGTTTTTCTTTTGATTGAGATTCTTTTTTTAAATAGTGATCATTGGCTTATATAACAAAATATTCGAAAAATATTTGGTGTGACGTGACGTTTTAGAAGTGAAGATTTGTTATCCAAGATATGATTTCATGGCAAAAGTCCTTTTTTACTTCTGCTGATAGTTTTTATATTGTTTGTCGTCTTCTGAAATCTCATTTTTGACTTAGACAATCATTAATTGGGATTGACTAATTGTATATTTTTTCGGTATTATTAGTAGCCACAAATAAATTATGTTGTATTGAAGATAAGACCATGTGATATAATGGGACCAACTAAATAATTTTTTTGGAGTATTATTATTTTTGAGATTCTTGTTTATCTCAGTGATTGTAGCTTCACTTTATATATATATGGCATAACTTATTTACTCTAAACAATAGAATTAATAAGAAGATGTAGGCTATTAGCCTTTGGTTCATAAATGTAGATCTCATAGATGATTTCAATTTCTACTTGTATGGAAACTCATTTGATCAAACTTTTTTTTTAGAGATGCGCGTAAAATGGTCTAAACATACTTGACTACAATAAGAAAAAAAAGAAAATATATTATCATGCCTCACCAAATATTATGACATTATCAACAGAGTTATTAGGATCGAAACTTATAATACCTCACCAAACATTATGATATCGGCCGGTAGAATCTGGTAAATAATACATCACCACCATGTGTGCCTCCACCTCCATCTTCCTCCCTCCAACATCAACACGCGTGCACACATACATATTTTTTTCGGGGGTAGTTATGTCTTTCCAACAAAATAGAGATGAGATGAATTTATCATATCTAACTTTTGTCATTTTTTATAATTTAAATGAAACTTAAAAAGGAAAAGGATTAATTGTTAAAATTAAAACCTAAAGTGATGAATGACAAACTACACAAAATTGAAGGGATATCATGGTGACAATTGAATTGGAAAAAAACCTTTTAAAAGATTCAAAGTAAATCTTTTTAGCTAACCCAAAGTATTTTACACTGACAAAACTAATCAGAAATAAAGTTTTAGGGCCTGTTTGGATATGTTCTCAAAAAATAGTATCTAAAAACATATTTTCAAGAAAAGTGAGTTTTAATTTTTATGTATTCTAAAACATGTTTGGTTATATAATTCCAAAAACAATATTAAAAGAGAAAAAATAGTAAACTTGTTTGGAAAGTGATCCAAAAACTAATAAAAATAAAGGATATAATGTGAATTGACTCTTTGGTAAAAATCTTCTAAAAAAGAGCACAAGGGTGAGGGTGATGATGGGAGTGGGGGGGGGGGGGGGAGTGTTACCGTTGTTTTCTTTCTCAGTCAGTATTATACATGTGAAAAAAAAGAAAATTTACTCACAAAACTCTAAAACATTGCAAGAAATTAGAAAAAAATAAAAAAAACACGAGGATGAAGGACAAGTGTTGAATGCTCCTAGACATATCTCAGACATCAAAAAAATAACTTTAGAAATTGAACATGCAATAAAAATGTCATTCTTCCTCTCACTATGAATGATTGTGAAAAATTGCAAAACAAATCCAAGAACATAGATTTCAAATTTCTCATTTGTATATGGTCAAATCTAAGGAGAAAGTTAACTTCAATAAAATATGCAAAATCAATCTGTGAGAAAATAAAAAGCATATGAAAAGATCATTCTTGCAAGAGCTGTTAGAAGCCGATCGGACCTATTTTCGTCAATTTGTGTCTCTTGTAGGGCTGGAGCTACGGACAAGACTAGGGGGTTTGAAGGAATCGACCGGGCTCGATTGGAAGTAAAGTGAAAGACACATGCGATAAAGAGAATTTTTTCCCTTTTAAACGATGTCTTTAAGTGCACAGTAAATTGCATCCCGTATTTTCAAAACTGACGAAACCATGTTACTAGTGTTTTTAAAATTCTAATTTTTTATTCCCAGTTTTTATAAATTAAACTAGATACAAAGCTCTATTTTTCAAACAACTTCTCTTCTATTTCTTATTTTCAAAAACAGCAAAATTATTTTACAAACACAAACCCAACAGGCTCTTAGGTTATGGAATTTTTTCAGTAAAATGCCTCTTCGAGCAGTGGAAACCGTGAAGAACAAAAGAATGATCAAATGGATTCGGGATTGTTAGTGGCAAAGAAAATAAAGAATCCGGTTCTCAAACAACCCAATACTCTCACCCAAACATTAGACTTAACTTCACAAATCCAAGTATCTTCCATAGAAGATAAGCTATTTAATAACAAATCCTAATTCAGCCAATTATTCATAAGCACATAACACCACTATCAAAATGCCATTTTCATTCACATTCAATCAAACCCAAATAACACAAGTACTGCTTTTCAAATTGTAAGGTAGTTGGTCGTGAATAACACTTTTATTTGGGGACATTAAAGGGAATTCGTTATGCTAGTTTGGCACCATGGAAAATAAAAAGATGAAAAATTAGAAGTATAAATAAAACATTATATTTAGAAAGGAAAAAAATAAAAAAGATGAAAAAATTTGTGAATTAACTTTTTTTTTGACCACCACCACCACCACACTTCCACTATCTTTACCAACACCATCACCACACTTCAACTAAAACCACATTTTTATTTTTATCGTTTTCTGTGTTAATGTCCCAACAAGTTTTATTGTTTTTTATTACATAGAATTATTTTTAAAATCATATAACCAAATAAATTACACAATACAAAAGACATGAAAATTAGTTTCTAAAAATAATTTTTAAATACTATTTTTTGAGAAGTAAATCAAACAAACCTTTACTCTCTCAAGTGACTAGTTTTGCAATCCTGCTGTTCGATATCTTCGTAGAAAAATTTCTTAAACGTTTGTATGTTGTCTGCTTGAAAACATATTGCAACAGTCAAAGATCCATCACAATCATTACCCGGGAGGATCAAAGTGTCACCGTCACAATCATGAGTTCCAGGGCCCGTGTAAATTTCTTTTCCCCACCCAAAATCCAAGCCATACATGGGTAGAGTCAACCAGCTTATGACCCCGAGGTTAGGATTCCCATAGAATGGTCCTTGGTTGCTTCTTATTGCATGGAGGTCTTGGAATTGAGACAAGTCCTTTTGTCTTTTCAAAAAATCAATGGCCGAGTGCACATATTCATCGGTCACCTGCTCAATTGCTTCTCTAATTTTACTTGCAGCATAGCTTAATGGTTTCAAAATCAACTCGCCCGAGTATCCAGTTGCAATCACATCGATTATTGCATTGCCAAAGTACTTTTGAGGCAATGGTGGTTGCATACGTTGGCGTATATCAACACAAACACCCAATCTAGTTGGCTGCTCACTTCTATGTCCGCGCGCCTTGCACGCACACCTCCATATATGTGCGGTTATGACCTCATAGCGGGTGTAGGAACGGCCATGACAATGTTCACCAGTTCGAACATGACAACTCCCTTGACTAGCTTCATTAGCAGTGTCTTTTAATGTCTCAACTTGGCTTTTAGTTAGTTTCAACATGGCCACTGTAGTCAACTTCTTTCGCTCGTTTTCTGTGCTTGATTCGCCTATTATAAGTGGTGGTTGATTGAATTGTGTGTGCTCGAAACATGGGGCTTCCCTAGGAGGATATCCAGCTCGCAATGCCTTTCGATCGAGAAAAGGTGGTGAGCTTAATGGCTCGCCACGAGCAAGCCTTGCCCAATCAACGATGAAGTGATGTGCACTTTGTCCATCAGCAATTCCATGTGAAATTGTCAAGCTGAGACTAACGCCTCCGCATGAGAACTCAGTGAACTGAACTAAGACCAGTGGCAGTTCTTGGATTGGGGTTGTGTAGTCTATGGAAGGGATAAGGTAGTCGAACTCAGGAGATGGAGAAAAATCACCAAGGTCATCTAATTTGGCTTCGGACACAGCTTCGATGAGCTGAACACCCATTGCATTGCACGCGAGCTCCAATCGTCCCCCATCGATCCAGTGCAAACGACCAGCTAATGGATAAAAATGCACCAATGTCTGGCACAATGAGTCTCTGAGAACTTTGATCATGGTACCACCGGGTGTATGCCAATCCTGTGAAGGTCTGTAGAAGTAGATGGTTGGTACATGAGTAATTGTACCAGTTTGATCCCATTCTGATAAGGAGAGACGCCCATTCCATGTTGGCTCAGCAGGCCTAACCATGCAAGAATGCTTAATGTTTACCCTCATTTTACACACACACACACACACACACACACACACACACACAGAGACTTAGATGGGTGTAATGCAGTTGTGAGACCAAGTGTATTTAAAGGCTAAATGAGACCACTTGTGTCAGGTGACCACTTTTTCAGGCAATTGTAACATAAGTTGCCACTAATTCCGCATATAATCTGTTGAAAACGTGAAATGATTTTTTCATGAGTTTGGTTTCCTCCGGAGAGTAAAACTTTCAGCTTCCTGTGGGAGTGTTTTTTGTTGATGCTGGATGCTTAGGGTGGCTTCGAATTCAACAATGACGGCACACAGTTTGTCAAGCAATCTGGCGTGGAAGCGGTGCCGGTGTGGGTTGTCGGCATGCTTGTAGTGGACTATTGTGGAAGCGGTGCCGGTGTGGGTTGTCCGCATGCTTGTGGTGGACTATTGTGGAAGCTGCCAGATCTTATCCGAAAGCCACGACGCTTGAAGACAAGGAGAAGATCTGTGGAGAAGGTTCAGGAATGAAGTAGAAGATGGTGTGATAGAATGGATGGCTTACATTGCAATTCCTGGAACCCCAAAAAGGGTTAGGAATAGGGCCGGAGGATTCTCCAACGTATCCTAAACCCATTTTAAAATTTTAATTTACATAAGGTTAGGTACTCAATTTCAAGAAAATATGCAAAATCAAAATGTAATAAAACACAAAGCATATCGAAAGAGCATTCTCGTAAGAGTTGTTAGAAGCCCATCAAACCTCTTTTCGCCGGCTTGTGGGCCGGAGCTTCGGACAAAATTGGGGAATTTGATGATTAGGCTTGATTGGAAGTGGAGTGAAAGACACAGACCATAAAAAGAATTTTTCCCATTCTAACCGATGTGCGCATCCCCTTTTTTTTTTATTTTTTTTTCAAAACTGTGTCTCATAATTGACAAAATCATACTATTAGTGTTTTCTGAAATTCTATTAATTTTTCGTTCCCAATTTTTATAAATTAAACTCGATACAAAGCTCTATTGTCCAAACAACTTCTTCTTCTAGCAGTGCATAACATAAAGAACAAAAGAATGATCAGAGCAAAATGGATTCGGATACTACTTGATATGTTGTTTTTTTTTTTCTTTTCTTTTCAAGACTTGTATAGAGAAGTATTCATGTTCGATCAGGAAGTTATCTTAAACGAACTATAACTTAACTTTTAATAGGTATAATTTGACCTAAACAATCATGGTCCGTCCGTTAATAACCTATGATAATTATAAAGTGAAACAATACCCGTTATTCAAACAATGCTATTATTTATTTTGTGGTATGGTGTCTTAACTAGTGATTCCTTGTAATTTGATTCATACTAATTTATCAAAATTAGAAAAATGAATATTATTATACGAAAAAAGACTCCATAACTCACCTTAAAACTTATTTATGTTATCTTCTTTCGTCATGAAAGCTTCTACACCAACAGTACAGTAATAATACTACATACTGATTATCTTTTCAACTACCTGAATAAAAATTTACATTATTGGTAACTGGGCATTGCAGATGAGGCGGCAAATCGAACAATAGAAATTAAATGGTCCAAATTCATCAATTAAAAGGTTATTGGATTGAATCTCATACTGTTTGCACTTCTTGATCAAAATGGTTCTACATGGGTTGACGGTAAGAATGACTCATTGAAGCCCCAGCTGAAACAACTTGGTTTCTGAAAACCACAAAATTAGAAAATATGAGAGAGAGAGAATTCCATGATAAAAAAAAATGGAGAATCTGAACATTGAACTTATATAGACAACAAAAAAAAAAAAATTAACAGGGTCATCACGCATCTATACAAACTATCTGGTATAAACAATTTTGTGCATCTATGAGCATGTGTTTTTTTATTGCAGGAGCTAGTGTGTGCATCAAATCATACATAGTAAGAATCATGATAAAATCTACAATACCCATTTGAGAATAAATTCCACTAAAATTGACACGAAATTATGAGATTAGACAATTTTCTCTCATTTTTTGAGTTTTTCCTGGCCAAAACTATTGGTTATAGAATCACAAACCAAAAAAATTAGAATCTCATAGAGAACAATACATGAGAATTATAATAATTCAGAACCCTCAATTCTTCATAGAGGCATTAGTGTTTCTATTAGCATCATTTAGTCATGGCCACGGTTTGTATAAAGTTATGAGGTATCATTTCATAGCATTCAATCATTCTAAAAAGTATGAGAAATCAAATGCATGCTTTAGAAACAATAACCCAAGCTAAATTGGTATTCATAAGAAGCGAGAGGAACCATTCAAGTCAATCACTAAAGCTCATGAAAAAAAGTAAAACAAAAACTATCATTTTATTAATGAATATTTATCAAATGGACGTGAATAATGTGTGTTTTGGTTCAAGTATGACAAATACTCATGCAGATCTTTATTTCTGGAGATGACTTGAATAAGTACACAACATGTGGAAGTGAAAGGGGTTTTAGTATGTTAGTCATGGTTTAACAATGAACAATTTCACAAAGTAAATGGAAATAGTGGAGCTATAACAACAAAACAACGCTAGGTATTTGGTTCTGATTATGTTGACTATGTGAACCACCATTAAAAAAAAAAAAAGAAACTTTAAAGGAATCAAGATTCTGATTATCTATTCGGCATCTAAAATAGCGTAATTGCAATGGTATTTAGCATTATAGTCCTACTGTTTTATCAATAACTTCTAAATCATAACTTGAATATAAAATTGTTTGCAGCCCAGACATGGAAGCTCCTAACCCCCTTCTCTTCCCCTGCTCCTCCTCCCTCGACGGATCCCCACCCTCTTCTCTATCCTAAATCTAGCCTCCCTCCCCCATCAAAGTTCTAGTTAGAATGGACCCAAATCCCATTTCAAAACCTAGGGTTGACGCCTCCTACGCAGCGATGGGTGTTTCGGCACCTCCGATATTAGATCCCGTTGTCCAGCCCACTTTGGGCAATGATTGCCACCCCTATTGTTCCACTTCTGCAACTTGCCAATCCAAGGTGATGTCAACGGCCACCCAACAAAAAAGGATTTGCTGTGCGTGGAGGTTAATGCCCCCATTAATTCTGCCATTAATGTTGATTTGGTAGAGAGTGTTACTGCTCCAACCAACAAGCTCCAAAAGTCGAAGATCCCTACTAAAACAGGGGAAACCCCTGCTGTCCAGCCTAAATTTACTACAAATATCCCGTGGAATCAAACGCTAAAGTATGGTAGGAATCGCCCTAACCCAGAAACAAGCAGGATCGAGCAAGACTCAATGAAACTGCAATACTTTAAACCAAAATGGGTGAATAACCGTGTTGTTGTCCATCCCCCTCCTGAGGTTGCAAGTAAGGGCTGCGCCTTATGGAGAATATGTCTTGTGGGATGCTTCATCGAGAAAAAACTTTCAGTCTCCACTGTGTCTTTTATTGCCCATAAGATCTGGGATAATATGTGACTGGTGGAGGTGCTGGCTAACGAACATGGTTTTTTCTTCTTCAAATTTGAGGACAAGAAGGCAAGAACCAATGTGTTGGAAGTTGGCCCATGGTTCTTCCAAGGTAGGCCATTATTCCTTAAGAAGTGGCAGTCAGATGTTGCTGTCTCTAATGAGGATCACTCTGTCATTCCTGTTTGGGTGAAGATGTATAACATCCCCCTGCAGTACTGGACTGATGAAGGTATTAGCTACATTGCAAGCACGGTTGGCAAACCTTTATATGTTGATTCTCTTACTGCAACAAGGAGGAGGATTAGTTTCGCTCGCGTTTGTGTGGAGATTAATGCTCAACGAGATCTGATTGAGTCGTTCGACCTTCAGCTGGAAAGGTGTAATGAAAGTGGCTACCCTATTATGGTTAAGATTGGGGTTGAGTATCAATGGAAACCCAAGGTCTATCTTGGATGCCAGACTTTTGGGCATAACCAGTCTAACTGCTATAAACAGTCAGATAATAGGCTGGATGTTCGTGTTCCTCTTGCTCAAGGGACAACTAGCCTCGACAAAGGTAAATCCATAGTTAGTTCTACTGTGGTGGTGGAGGTGGAGGAGTCTTTCCATCCTAATGTCGCGGTGTCTCCCTCGTATTTGGCCAGTAGCTCAGATAGCTTGAATGGCGTCAAGGGTAAGGCTGTGACTGAGGATCTTGCTACTCCCCCCAGTCCACCTGACATGGATAAAGGTAGCCATGCACCTATAATGGATAGCGCTCTTAATTTAGATGGTGGGTCCATTGTTGTTGATATTAGCCTTGCACATCTTAAAACTAGAGAAGTGGAGAATAATACCCTAGTGGATTCTACAAATCTGTGGATCACTTAGGAGAAGAAAAAGGCGAGGAATGCAAAGAAGACGTCTAAGTCTGAGGCTAAATTAAAAGGGGCTGAGCACTTTAAACTCAGCAAAGTTCTCCTCCATGATTAATTTTGCCTGTTGGAATATCAAAGGGCTTAATGAGCCTTCTAAACAAATGGAGGTGAGGAAGTTTATTAGTGATTCCCATCTGGATTTGGTGGGTGTCATTGAAACTAGAGTTAGGAGTGTTAATTACTCCTCTATTATGTAGCATGTTTTTGGGCAGTGGAGCTGCTGTGCCAACTACCAATGCCACACATTGGGGAGGATCTGGATTGGATGGAATCCAAAGATTATTAACGTTACTAAACGTGTTGAATCTGACCAAGTCATACACTGTCATGTTCAGCATATTGAAAGCAACACCTATTTTTTCGTCTCTTTTGTGTACGCCATGAATGAAATGGTGGACAGAAGGCCACTATGGGCTGACCTCAGATACCACTCCTCTCTCTTCAGCAATGATCCATGGATCATCCTTGGGGATTTTAACATTATAAGGAACCCTAGCGAATATGTGGGTTGTGCAGGGAAATGGTCTAACGCAATGCTGGAGTTTGAAGATTGCTTACAGGACTCTGAACTTGAGGACCTGAGATATTCTGGGTTGCACTTCACCTGGAGAAACAAGAGAGAAGGAACAAGGTTTATTACAAGGAAACTAGATAGAGTCCTCGTTAATCATGCTTGGAACACAATTTTTCACCAAGCTGCTGCTGAATTTCTCTCATCTGGTGTTTCTGATCATTCTCCGGTTGTTGTTAAGATGGGTAACAATGCCAAGTGGAGGAGGACTCCATTCAAGTTCTTCAGTCACCTTGCTGATAAGGAAAACTTATTAGATACTGTGGCACAAGCTTGGGTGACTAGTGTGCAAGGATCTCTCCAATTTAAACTTTTATCCAAGCTAAAGAGGCTCAAAAGTGTTTTTAAGAACTTTTGCAAGGAAAGAGGGCACAACATTGAGCTTGTACAATCTGCTAAAGCTGTTCTTGAGAATTGCCAGATTAATATTTATAGGAACCCTTCTGATCATAACCTGATTCAGGAGGAGAAGAGACTCTTGGCTTCTTATCTGGAGGTTGCCAAAGATGAGGAGCTGATCTTTAAGCAAAAATCTAGGATACTGTGGCTCAAGGAGGGTGACCAGA